TTTCAGGCTGAGTGTTTTCTTGAATGGAACCACCTCTGTGATCGTGAGCCTTCCTAGACATTAACTACAATGCACAGAGCCAGCTAAGGGTTGTGAAGCATTTCTACCATTTTCCTGAATGGTTAGGAATTGGTGATTAGAAACAACAAATACTTGTCAAAAAGGTTGAGTACATTTATTGTTTTGGGCTCCAAGCAGATGTGATTATGCTAAGTTTTCTAAGTTAAATCTTTCCTGAAGAGAGCAGCATAGAGAATTCATGAGGGAAAAGAGGATTGTAGTATGATGTTAATATTTATGTTTGGCTATAGTTCCTTCCAAGTGAAGGTTGATTCAGTTCTCTCTTCCAGTGTGTGTATAAGTTGGCAGATGACAGGAACATTTGCTTCTAATCACCCATCCATCTTAATAATGCCAAACAGATACAGCACAGAAACTATTACACAACATCTAGCACTTCGTGACATTGACTTCTCTGCCAATTTGAAAGAGGACCTTGAATCCAGGGAAATTACATTTTTATGTTTTTGATCACGATACTTAGAAGATACTTATTAGGGCCATTTTGTTGACAATGTTCAGAATTGACAAATTATGTTGTTAAAGCAAAACAAAAGCTTGGTGGTTTCATTAGAGAACTATAAAGTCTGCTGCTGAAGACAGAAATATTGTGATGTTTGAAAACAGGCAACGTTTGCTAAAGGACTCTCCAGGGTCTAGTTTCTAGAACCCGGACAAAGCTCAGTTAGTCCGATCTAAAAGGTTAAAAGGCAGAAAGCTTAGCAACAAGTGGGTTGTATGTTCAATGCCAACAAAGACCCTAAAACCTAAGGCTGTTTATTGGTTATGGGAGTGCATTGAGTTGGAATTCTTGTTTAAAGATCCACAAGGAAAACATATTATTGTGAGAAGTTCTATTTCTTCTCCATATGAGAGTAAGGCCTATTCTGTTGTTTTAAACCTGGTGTGGCCCTCTCTGTCAGGCCTCAAAACAACTGAAATGATGTGGCAAAGTAGGTGGGGTGTCCTGGGGAATGCCCACCTGTTTGTACTCCTAGCCAGGGTGCTGAGACCCCTACGCCACACCCAGTCCTTCTGAAGATCTTTTCTCAGGGGCATCTGTTGGCTACTTTGCAGAATTGAGAGAAGGCAGTGATGGTATGAACACAAAGATGTCCTGCTTCTGAACTTCCCAGGTGAAGCTGCAACACGCCTTTCTTCCAGAAAAGGACAGTTATGTGGGGGAGGAGGAAGACAGAGTAGGGGAGTCAATTCTTAGTAATGACAGCAGCCACATACGTATTAGTTTGGAACCACTGTCAGAGAAATAAATTGAGACAAGTATTTGAGCAGTCCAACTATGAGACCAAAGTTATGTTTTGGTCTGAATTCCCCAGATAATTGTGTTTTAGTTGGAAGAATGCTTGTCTCAGGATTGGAGCCTATGAGCTCCAGACCTGCATCTACCAGTACAGGGTATGTAAACCCCTCTGTGAGTGCCAGCTTTCTCTTCTAGAAAAGAGTCAATGAATAGCATTGTGTGTTTTCTGTGTGAAAACATGTATCCCTAGGCAGAAGCGTGTCCACATCAAGATATCCTGTCATAGTGGACATCGCAAGTTGACTCGCTGCAGTGATGCTTCCAGATCACCTGGGGAACCCAGAGGAACTCCCTTTGATCTGGGACTTTCTCTAGATCTTGATTTTTTTTTTTTCTTTTGCAAATTTATGCGGGATCAAAACTCACTCAGAATACTATAAGGGATCTATCTCAGTGAGATGCCTTATGCAGGAAATAAGGAAGTTGGAATGAATTCGCTCCTGTGATGGGAGGAGTCGCCCCTTGCCCAGGCCCACACAGGTGCGGGTGGAGTGAGGTTCTCCTTGGCTCCATTCAGGACACTTTAGGCCCAGGAGATGAATGTAAGAGGCTGGTCAGAATGGGCAGTGTAACTTCACACAGGCGTGTTTAACCCCAAAGGATGATGGCCTGACTAGCCTAGTGGACAAAAGTCATGGCGCACCAGTTGGGGCGGGGTGGACACTACGCGCTTTTCATTCACATGTCTTCCAGGGAATGAGAGGACTCGAACACTGACCACCCAGGAGGACCCTTTGAAAGCGGACTCTGCCACCCTTACACTGAATCCCAGGCATGGATAGCTCCAGACAGGCCCGACAGGTGTCAAAGGGCGTTTCCCAAACCAAACAGACCCCCGCTCCGCTCCCACGGCCAAAGGTCAGCCAGGCGCTTCACAGGCCGTGTTTGCACAGGTGGGCCGAGGCTTGGGCGGCCAGAGCAGGGGGTGCGGCGAGGGCGGGTGGCCAGACCCGGCGCCAGAAGTCCAGCTTGTCCGGAGGCCAGATAGCTGTCCCGGTGAGCCCGAAGAGGGTGCTGAGCAAGGTGGAGGCTCCAGGCGGGGTGGTGCACTTCCTGGGGCCTCCGTGGGGGAACCAGCACCGTCCAGACTAGTTCCTGCCGCCGGTGCTCCAGCCCCACTCATGTCTTCAGAAGTGCTCTGGGGCCTGGGCCTTCTGCATGGAGTTCAACTTTTACCCTTCACTTAGGAACAGGGAGAGGCTGGAGCTCCCGGAGAGGGTTGGGTCCTGGGTATTGCCTCAGGGCCCATCCCTGCCCTCCATGAGGCCCAGTGACCGTGATCTTCTTTTGGGTCTTGGAAGTAACCTGGAACAGGTCATCAGCAAGCACCGAGGATATGAGTAGAGAGGTTTACATGAGAGAATGCTTAAAAGGGCAACAGGTGCATGCCCATTTTGAGCGGATTGGGAACAAAGCAATGGGGACCAGAGGACAATAAAGGGACCCCAATCAGGCACTGCAAGGTCGGTGGCTCAGGCTTACCAGCTGCTCCTTGGAAGCCCTCTATGGGTCAGAACCAACTAGACGGCACTTCACAGCAACAACAACAATCAGGCACTATGGACGTTCATTAGAAAGGAAAGGGTTTTTTTTTAGGTGTGGGTAGGAGGGGAAGCTGATTTTAAAAGGACATCTTTCCCTTTCATCTTTTATGTAACTGTTTTTGTATTCTTTAAAATAAACCAGCAGTGGATTTTAAAACTACATATGCAGAAATGTCTTCATTTGTCACTGTGGAAATGAAAACCCTGATGTTACTAGAAGGATTTAGAAGTAGGCAGTACTTTGACTCTGCAAAGGAGTGCTACCTGGGTTAAGAGGTGGCCTTCAGTTGCTGACTCTCTCTACTCCTTCTTCCTTTAGTGCCAAGATAGGATCATGAAATAAACCCGCTTTCTTTTCTCCTCTTCTAGTATGTGGATTCCGAATCATTCTCCAATCTTGGATATGTTAGGATCTCTTCAGAAAGGGCAGTGATGGCATAGTGCTTGAATTCCCTGTCGTTTGTGTGACCCTTTAGATTACTGTAGCCTATAAAGTGTTAGAGCAACTGTACCTTGGAGTGTATTGAAAAACAGGTGACTATATTGTTTTGGGGTACTTTCACACTACTAAAACGTTCACCTACCTTTTTAACACGGAAAACTGTCTTCCCATCTGCAGGTAGCATATTCTATTTAGTACAATGAATACAGGCCTGGCATCCCCACCCCACAATTGATATATTCACAAATGAGAGAGATAGGGGAATAACCTGCAATATTACGGATTGGTTCACACCCAAGTGAGCTTTTGCATTTCTGAAAAGGTGGTTAGTTTTGCTTTGAGAAAAACACTGATATTAAAGTTGCTCTACAAACAGCCCTGATGGTATCTTCAGTGTGCGGGATGGTCCTAGTTTATGATCAATTTTACATTCTGAGTCTCAAATCAGAATCAATTTATCTGAAAATGTCTGGGGGACTATATAAGCTTGTGAATAGCTCAACTTCGCTGGTGACGGAGTTTTTGGGGGGAGAGTGGAGCCCCCTAATCATTTCCTCTGGCAACTCTTCAGTGAATTCCTTCAGAGGTAACTGGTGTCGAGTTTAAGAAATTGTTTCAATGCAAGTTCCACTTGGGAGATTTGTACAATAATATGTACAGTAAGAAAATCTGCAGGCCACTTTAACTTTTATTGGATCATCTAGGAAAATATTTTGATCCCCTCAGGAGTTTCTGAAGACCTAAACTGTAAATCAATTTGGATAAAGATTCTCCCCCTACAGCCCATTACCACAGTGTGCTGAAGTCAGTTGTGAGTTTTATTAAAAAATAATCACTATGCCTGGGTTCCATAAGATTTTACACATGAATATGTACACAGACAAAATAAAATAATATTCAAAATAAAAATCATACTTGCTTTCACGTGGTGGTGGTCCTGGCACCCCACATACATAACGTTAATTTTTCTTTTAAAGAAATTGCTTGGCCCCAAAAGACCACAGTTGGAGATCACTGAACCACTAATAAAGCTGTAGCCCGTTGCCTGCAACATTTTCAATTCAGGTTTTAAAAATATATAAATAATTTAATTACAAAAACCCAGCAACTTTTTTCCCCCACTTTTGGCACAGTGATGCATTGATCAATAACAGAGAAGTGACCTCTCTCACACTCAGTCATACATGGAAATGCCACAAGCATACACAAAGCGGGGTCCCTGGGGCCCCAAACAGTAGTCAAAATCACTTATGGAATGGTTCCCTGATGTGCTACTTTTTCTCTCTCTCTTTAAAAAAATTTTTTTTTTGCTGTGGGATAATTCAGTTAAATGGAAGGTGCGACAAAACCAATAGAAATAAGGGGCAAAGAGAGAGCGAGAGTCTTCCTTAAAATGAAGGGAAGGGTGGGCTTGGTCAGGAAGCTAACACAAAAATAAGGAATTGTTTTGGCCCTCGGCAAAGTCCTGTCAAAGACAAAGGGAAATCTTCTAGCAAAAACACTCGGTCAAAAATGCTTTCGTTTTAAGGCACGTTTGAGTGGGATTTTGTTTTAGTCTTTTTTCCTCCGACTAGAAAGAAAGTGCAGACCCCGCAGGCCCCTTGCCAGGCGCCGACCACCTTGCCTCGGGTTCTCAGGCCAAGAGCGTCTCCACCGGGCCCGGCCTATAGGCGCCAGGTCCGTAGGCCCGGGCCGCCTGCAGGGCACCGGGTGGCCGCAGGGGGCAGCAAGGAGGCGAGCCGTCCCCAGCCAGCGGGCCTCGGAAGGGCTCCCTGCAGGCGAAGGAGGCGAAAGAGGCGAGCAGAAGAGGCGATGGCTCTCCTGCCCGCGCTCCCAGCAGCAACGCCGGCTCCCGCGCTTCGAACGCGTAGAGCGGCAAGGGAGCCACGCCGGGTGCGGGGCAGGGCGCGGGTGGGACCGGGGGTACGCAGCCGGAGCCCCACAGCAGACGCGCATCGGCGTCGGTGCCTGGCTCCCGGCGGCTGCGGAAGGGCTTGCTGAGGATGCTGTCGATGGCGAAGGAGCTGGAGAACTTGCCCGCGGGGCTCGAGCTGTCCTCTTGGCGGGCCGGCGAGCGCGGGTGAGGCCGGGGCGACACGTGAAGAGGACCGCCTCCGTGCGCCGCGGCAGGTCGGACCGTATCCTCCTCCGGTCGCAGCATGGCCGCGGGGGTGGTCGCCTTGTGGCCCAGGCGCTTGCGCCGGCGGCGGAAGACACCGTCGGCGAAGGTGTATTCGCTGTTGGGGTTGAGCATCCAGTAGTTGTCCTTGCCCCAAGGCCGTGAAGGGTCGCGCAGCACTTTGACAAAGCAGTCGTTCAGCGACAGATTGTGTCGCACCGAGTTGCGCCAGCCCGTGTAGCTGCCGCGGAAGAAGGGAAACTTGCCCATGAGGTACTCGTTGATCTCCGCCAGCGTCAGGCGCCCGCCGGCGGAGTCGCGGATGGCCATGGCGATGAGTGCGATGTATGAGTATGGAGGCTTGGGTCGCCGTGTGTAAGGCTTGCCGCGGCCACCCTCGCCGCGTGCGCCTTCTCCGGGACCCGACGCGCCGGCCTCCTGGCCTCCGGTGCCGTCCGTAGCCGCTGCCAGGTTCTCCTCCTCTGCGCCCAGCCCACCTCGCGCAGGCTCCCGGGCGCCACCGTCCGCCGCCGGGCTGTTGGCCGCACAGTCCCCGTCCGAGCCCAGGGAGTCGTCGCCGCCGGCCGACAACGGGGACGGCGCGTCTCTCCCACCCGTGCCCTCGAGGTCATCAGGCGGCTTGTCCGGGCCAGCGGCGCGGGGGGGGGCGGGCACCTTCAACTTCATCCTCGCGTGGTCCTCGCTTTCCTAGCCGACGCCGCCTCCCTTCGCGCCCTCTGCCCGCCGGCGCAGTACCCTGCTCTTCGCAGTCTTGGGAGCTGGTGCTGGAAGCGGGGTGGATCCTGGGGCGGGTCGCGCCTTTCCCTCCTGGAGACCTTCTTCCTCTGGCCGGCAAGAGACAGCCACTCTTCCGCTGGGATCTTTCTTTGCTGGGGCTGTAGTGTGTGTTGGTTAAATGAGGAGGGGTGTCGAGGGAGGAGTTCGGTGGATGTTGTCTTCAGTTAAAGGATCAGGATTTGGGGGGAAAAGTGTTCGGGGACGCGGCCGCAATCCTTGTGCCCGAGGATTAGGTTTAAAACGATTGTTTGCTAGAAGGAAGAGACGTTCGCATCTGCACCCGAAGTTGAGATCTTCACTGGAGGTCCCAGGGCCTGAGTAGGCCTCCACTGAGGCTCAGAGAAGGCTCCAGACTAGTGTGCTCACCATCGGCAAGGAACGAAGGGGTCCCAGCGCCTTCAGCCTCGAGCGCTCGCGGGGCGGAGTCCCCGAGGCCAAGGCGTCGGCAACTGCCTTCCCGCCCGCGGCCTTCTGGCCAGCATCTCTGGAGCTGGCGACCGGGCTTGGTGGTGCCTCCACTTTAAGTCGGGCCCAATATAACCCCGCAGCGGTTCGGCGGAGGCGGGGCCTGGGCGCTGGCGGAAAGAGGGTGGGTGGGGAAACGGGTGGCCAAGGTGGGTCGGGGTTCCGAGAGGGCGAGGCCACGCGGCGGCTGGGGCCCGCAGGAGCAGCGCGCAGGTTGTTTGTTTTGGATCAGTTGGGTCCGCCTCCTTTCCGGGCCAATGGGAAAGTTGCGCGCGGCAGTGGGGGGGTAGGGAGCGGTGGGTGGGAGGTGTCTGCGCGTGAGCGAGCGGCGCGTGTGCGCGTGAGGACGGCCCCGCCCCGTGCCCCTCGGCTCAGGTGTGAGCGCCCGGACCTTTCTGCAGCTGTCCTTGCGTGTTGAGCTTCGGGAGACGCTGGCGGCTTGGATAGGGCGGGAAGATTCAGCGGCCCTTCTAGGGGAATACCTCCGAGGGCTGGACTGGGGCCGGGAAGCTGCTCAGGCCTGCGACCTTCCTAAATGCACTGCTACCCTGCTTTAAACTTAGGGATTTTTCCGGAGAGCAAGCCCCTCGTGTCACTGACAGTGCAGAGCAGTAAAAACTGCGTAGTACACTGCAGGGACCTCTCAGGAGAGCTGCAGTGTGGTTTCCTTTCAAGGGCTCCTCTTTTTTGTTATTTTAAATAAATAAAACACCGAACTTGACATTTCTCAGTTTTGAATAACTTTGATTCTTTTTCACTAAGTGGCCTTCGACTTTCACTTTTAATTTAATTTTACTTTACCTTTTACCCTGGCTGGTGGCTGGGGTGGGGTGAGCAGCCGCGTGTCCTCCTTTATCCCTGGGAATGGCTGGCGCCAGGTGCTCTATCTGCTCCTGTGCTCCATCAGAAACCTCCGAACTCTGCCAAGCCAACCGCACTATCCCTGGCTCAGACAGCCAACGTGAATGAGAAGGCGGGAGTGTTCCCGTGGGCGGACCGTGACCACGAGTAAGACATGTTTCCGGCCATTTCTTTCCAGTGCCCTTTGGAACTGTGATTTTGGGAGTCTGCAAGGGGGTATCTTTCTCCGCCCCCCTGGTCGCTCTAGGCCTGGCGCCAACGCAGGCTTGTTACTCCAGGTTCCCCGGAACGGTGCATTTGTAACCCGTACCCCTCCCAAGCTGAAATTTCCTCCTTTTTCCTGCCTTTGTTGCAAATAGCAACAGAGGCGCTAGTACGTGGGAGCGCACCTTTGATGTTTATTTTATTACTTTTCCACCATTTGTGTAGAAAATATACACAATTCTCTCTTATCTCTTTTCAGGAGTCTTAAAGGCATTCAGAATGGGGCGGGCGAAATGACCCACCGGTCGAGGACTCTTATTTTTGTGTTTGGGAATAATCGGGTTTGAAGATTAGACGGGCGGTTATTGTAGGTGCCAGTTATGAGTGGGACAGGAAATCGCTTCTCATCAGGAGATGAGCCAGCCTGGAAGGGTTTGATTTGGTGCTGGATCGGTGGTGACGTCATTCTACCTCTGGGAGTTCATGGTCCCCTGGGTCTGGTGGGAGGGCAGGCTGTAACAAGAAAGTGACCAGGTAAATGGGCATTGATGTGGCTGGGAACAAAAGGCGTCATCATGAATTTTATCCTTAACTGAACGCCTTGAGGTGGGTGGGGCAGGAAGCCACACGCCTCTCTCACAGGTGAGATAGCAGGGAGAATTGAGGCAGGGGTCCCGGTCGCCTATAGAGGCTAGGAGAAGGCACTGGGAGACTTTTCAAGGCCAAGGTGTCCAGCCCACACACAATTCTACCTTGTTGTTGTTAAGTGCCGTCGAGTTGGTTCCGACTCACAATGACCCTGCATAGGATTTCCAAGAGTGACTGGTGAGCTTGAACCGCCAAACTTGCAGTTCAACGTGACCTTGCAGTCCAGAGCATTAACCCATGCAGCTGGAGGGATCTGAAGTCACTTTGCCACCACCTTGACCTGTAGATGTCTTCCTCATCGCCATCCCTCCCCCACCCCCACCCCTCCTGCCGCCCCTCATCCCCTGACAACACTTCCCTCTCCAGTTTGTAGCAATACTTAACTTTGGTCAGCAGTAGCCCCACTTTGACCTCTTCTATTCAGCGTTCCTGCCTCTTCCCTGCCCGGTCCATGGACCATTGGTTCTAGTCTGTGGCTCATTGGGTTCTAGACCTACCTGGTGTGACAGCACTATCCTATTCCCCGCCCTTCCAGCTAGCAGTTCCCTCCCAAGCTTTGTTCTCAGCTGCTTCTGGGGTCGTCCTACTAGTCTGGGAGGCCCTAAAGGGCTGCCACCTGTTGACAGGCTAGGAAGGAAATCCTTAGCTGTCTTCTCGCCCTTTTTTGCCTCCGTTTCTTCCTCCGTATAAAAAGGCGGATTGAAATGAACCTAAAGCCCTGGTGTGTTGGCGCTGTGGGTTAATGCGCAAGATCGGTAGTTCAGGATCCAAAACCTTATACAGGGAAGCTGTGGGTCGGAATCAACACCACAAAAGCCTCCTTGCAGCTCCAGCTCCCATTTTAGCATTCGTGGTTTTCAAGTACTGAGTGTCCAGACAAGGTATATTTCAGCCTCTGGGGAGTTTTCGCAGAGGGGCAGGGATCAAGGGGCGTGACCTTTCGGCGACCCTGCTCGAGGCCGTGGGGTGGGAGGGTGGGGCACAGTGTCTAGGCTGGGGATGGGTGGGTAGCCGGAGATTTGGGGTTATACTGGACCTGGACCTCTCACCTTTGGCGGATACAAGGAGCGCTTGTCACCCCGGACCGACCCCATCCAGTTCCCAGTGTCTTACCCACCTCACCCGCTCCCAGCTGCGTCGGACACTCGCCTTCTCCTCTCCCTGCCAGCAAGTTGTTTTTAGAGATCCGGATCACAGGTAAAGCCTGGAGCTGCGGCTGTTTCCCCCTGGTAAACTTCCATTTTGCACTCGGGCTGGCCTGACTGTCCCGACTCCTTGGAGCCTGGAAAGTTTTGATGTGGGAGAAGGGAAGACAGTGGAGGTAGAGGAATTTTCTGCAGGAAACCTTTCCTTGTTTTCAGTTAGAGTGTTTGGCGGTTCCAATGGCCACGGGCAAGCTGCAGCCACCCGAATGAATGGACTTCGAAAGGGCCAACACCAGTGGTCAAGATGGGTCCCTAGAAAAGGGTAGCAAGATTCCTAGGGAAGAGACTATGTTGTTGTTATGTGCCGTGGAGTCGGTTCTGACCCATAGCGACCCTGTACAGGGTTTCCAAGGCTGTAAATCTTTACAGGAGCAGAAAGCCTCATCTTTCTCCTGTGGAACCGCTGGTAGTTTCGAACTGCTGACCTTAAGGTTCACAGTCCGATTCGTAACCACTACGCTACCAGAGCTCCTTTTATAGGCTCCACATTTGTCTGTTTTTCTTTGGCGTGGTGCTGCTGACTGCTAACTGCGGTGTCGGTGGTTCAAACTCACCAGTTAATCTTCGGAAGCACTAGAGAGTGTCACCCCTAAGTCCCTGGACAACACACAACACAAACAACAACAGCACAATAACAAGAACATGGACCTGTGGCTTCATCTTTCATTTGGGTTGTTCACTTATCACTACACGCTTGCCACACAGAAATTACTGTTGAATGCATGACTATAAAGCATGACTATGCCTTACACTGAGCATGCGCAGCGTGCACCACCAGTTAAAGACCAGAAATAAAACTGCTCCTCCCCTCTGCAGCTGGTGTGGGTAATGTGACTGTCCCTAACTGGTTTAGGAGCTGTTCTAGACAGGGAACCACACTTCCATTTACATCCCTCCAGATGACATATGGTTTAAGAGTCCAAACACCGCAAAAAATCCACATGCAGTATTTTGTTAGCTTTCTAGTGTCCTAGAAATGCTCTTAGATTTCTGGTCAATTCTATTGAGTGTCGTCAAGTTGGTTCCAACTAGTGATCCTGTATAGAGTTTCTGAGCTGGTTCTGACTCATAGTCACCTTGTATAGAGTTTCCAAGGTTGTGGGACAAGAAAGCCTTATCATTTCCTGTGGTGCAGTTTGTGGGTTCAAACCACCGACCTTGTGATTTGCAGTCCAGAATCCTGATGTGGTACCGTATGTAGGATCAGCACTCGACCTCAAGGTTGATTTGAATTGCAAGGTGGATGGTTCAAACTCACCAGCGGCGCCTCAGAAACCATATACAGGATTGCTATGAGCTGGAACTGACTCCAAGGCACTGACAGTAACAACAACTTACCATACACTCCCCTGCTCAATCCTATTGAGCAGTTGATAGTAAATGCTCAGAGGAAGTCTGACCATATGCTTGTAGATGTTGAACACCCATTGCCTCATGTTTTCTCTTGTCCTTTAATTTCTGTGGAGATATGCGGTCCTATGGCTTCCCTGATGTGATTTTAGACAA